AACACAAAAGTGACCTGTACAAACTCGTAGAAAACTTTGAAATTTCATTGTCAGTATGACGTAATTTTTACGACTAATAAATCAATTAAAGTTATAATTTTATAGTTGAAATCATGAGTCTATTGAAGATAGACCACTATGGGAAACCTGGAAACACTGCTTGACGACCGTTTTGTCATATTGTGAGACTCCTCAGTAGTGCGCATTCACGATCTCGCCTGGCGAGATTCGAACCCAGGACCTATTAGATTCGCGCGCGAGCGCTTAACCTCTAGAACCAATGAGTCATATTTGATTAACAGTTATATGTTAGTATAGTGTTCTTAATCTGGATAGGAAATGACAACAATGTTATTGGGAGATCGTTGTGCACGATCGCGAATTGTTTAGAGTTAAACATGAAAACAATTGAACGCTGGTTTATAAGCCTAAAATGCAAGTAATGGTTGTGAAACACAAAAGTTCTAGGTTTAACCTCCTATATATAATAGTAATTGCCAACTGTTAAGGACTCTCATACTGGAACTGAATAGCTATTCAATCGTCGCTGGTTTTCAATACGTGTTCAGCTAAGATCAGTCAGGTATGTAAACTATGAAATAATTCTGAAATTATTTTAATGTACGAAAGTTATCAACATGAAACTTTGATCTAGTTTTCGGAATTCTTATTTTTCATCAACCGCTAACAAACCATAATTTTTCTAGAGCTTCATCATCATGGGCAATAGATCTCATAACATTTCATGGATTCTTGATCAAATCATACTGCTGTAACGAATCATTTAACTTGGTGTTTACAGTGAAAGTATAACTGATAAAAGGTTACAACCAAAAAAACTTTGTTTAACAATGGTTTCCACCTAGTTAATGATCATTCTTTGAGTCTATGTTATCATTAAAAGGTTAACTAGTCTTGTATTTGTTTGTTGACAATTAACTGAGTGACATGTTGTGTGCACAATCGATGGCTTTATGACGTGCAGAGTATAAATAGTTAAATTTTTAAAAATCTAAACCATTCTGTATACAGGTTTAAGTCTTGTTCTATCTAAACAGAATCAATTAAATTGGTATTATTATCAGAAGGGGTTTTTTGTGGAGATTTAGCATTTTCATAGTTGAAAGCGTCAGTCAATTAAAGCTAGACCACCAGGGAAAACCTGGAAGCATTGGACGGCCGTTTCGTCCTATTATGGGACTACTCAGCGTTGCGCATCCACGACCTCGCCTCGCGAGATTCGAACCCAGAACCTACCAGTCTCGCGCCAGAACACTTAACCGATTTATTCATTATATTGGTACAAGGAAGCTCCAGATACATATGCGCCACACAAATGTCACTCGATTTGTGTGAGGGCTGTGATAATACTCAGGTGCCCAAACTGAAACAGGTGGTTTTCTTAGGGGACCACAACCGGAGCGTTTGACTTAAAGGTCTGATCCACAAGGCAGTGGAGCATCGTGAGGAGATGCAGTCCCATGGTAGTCGGTGACCAACGGTTGATACGTACGTCATTTGTTCCATCAGGATACTGGAGCTCATGTGCATTATTTGTTTCGAATCAGGGTTTTCCAACTCTCCTAGGTAGACTTTCCGTGTCCACCAACCCGGTTAGAGCGCCGGACATTCGCTTTTCTTCCTCCCAATTTGGTAAACAACATTAATGCCACGAGAAGGCAATGAGAAGGACTTCCATGACAGAGGCTATATACGCATGGCTTTGTGAGAGCATTTGGAGAGGTAGAGAGTACTCTCCCTACTCTCGGCCGTACCAGGGCATTCGGGGGCACTTAACCGATAGACCACTGAGCCGGCATCCGATGGTGTTTATGTCTAAATTGGTATTCTCAAAACTATGAATAAACAAATTTTTTTTGAAGGATATAAGGTCATAGAATGTTTTTTTTCTTTCATATCTCCCTATATATACTTTTAATGAGTTCATTCTTTCCAAATAGTTGTTATTCAATCATTTCCATATGTTATGCAAAATAATAAAGGTAACCGTAGGTATTAATTTGTTAAATTAAGAGTATGTGGGACAAAGATCTGAAAATAACAAGATCATGAGATGATTGAATACTTCATGTAATTAATTATTCAATTAATTATCGACTACAATTTGTTAATTGGCTTTAAAAGTCAAGGTTGTAGTAAGAAGGTCAGTGAAATTTGTTAACTAGTAGAAGAAAAGAATAAATATGATGAGTAAATGAGTATTAATTAACACAGTGAACAAGTTTTTCTGTCACATTATTAAAGTACATTATGAATCGAATGAACTTATGAAAATAAAGAAGTTTTTGTTATCATTATATAGTCCTTATCTAACAATGAATTACTTGATCTGACTCCCTGATGCGCATTCAAATAAGAAACTACACAAGCATGCACATAGAGTAGTCAGAACGGTAAAATAAGCCACGAGTACAGAACCTGGGACAGATCAGATACAACAGAGTGAGTTATCGGTCCGATCTCTGAGGCCTCCTAAGTTGGCTAACAGGGTTGCCTTCACTATCCAACTGCTCCACTAGGATTCCTTAGGTCACATTTCACTGCATTGTATGGAGAAGGAATTATTCACTGGATTGAATTGTATTATCGATCATCTTCGTTTTATAGACAATCATTTTTACAAATCAGTTGCACAAATGATCGACTTTTGACATTCTTATTTAAGACAAATCTCTGGTAATATCAGCTGTAAACATAAATTTGTTATTAACAATAATACCTTTTGATGAAGTGTAAATTATAAGAAAACAATTTAATGTAGAAATAGGAGTAGGACTTCCCTGGAAAAAGCTATATAAGCATGGCCATGTGAGAGTGTTTCGAGAGGGAGAATGAACTATCGGCCGTATCAGGGCATTTGGGGGCAACAACAACATGAACATTGAATTCAATGGTAGTAATATATAAAAGAAACGTTGTTTATAAGGATTTAGTACAGGAAGAAAGAATTAGTTACTAGAAAGAAAAGTATAAAGCAGTTTTAATCTCACAGTTTAAGGAAAGACAAAATGTGTATACATAAAATCATATAAGACATAGCAGGGAGAAAAGTTATTTCCTTTGTAAACAATATTCATCTGCTTAAATCCTTTGTTTCAACATATCTGACAATGGCATTGAATGAAGTAGTAAGAAATGACTTAGATGAACAATGAAAACTATTAATCATTCATGTGTTAAACAATAATCTAATGTATTTATCCCCTTTTATATTTATCAGTTTGGTAATGACTCGGATTTGTCTTTTTTTCTTTGCATAGCTTACATTTACATGTATCTATTTAGAAGAATAAATGAAGATTATAAATCCCTAAAATAAATTCAATTTGTATTTACTGTTTGAGTTTTCTCATTGATGTTTAGGACTTCAATTGATCAGTCTCTTATTGGCATATGTACATCCTATGCGGATTACCTCGAGATTACAGGTACATCCAGCTGGCGAGTCTCAAATAGGACGAAACACACGTCCTGGATTCCACTACTAGCCACTATCCATCTCTCTAAAATAAATGTTATATATGATATTTCATTTTGGTTGTGATAAATTTGTGTTAAAAAAGTAACTTTTAACACCATACTTAATGACAATGATCATTTTAGTTGAAATAGATTTTTTCTTATAAATATTAAATGTCAGTGAATAAATAATGAAACGTATAAAATATTGTTGGGGATGCTAGATCTCCAGAAATAGCTTGGTAAATGTCGCTTTTTTTAATTTCATTTTGAAAATTTGAATTTCCCATATTCGCGCCAAAATCACCAACTTTTGCCCTCACTTTGTATTTCCCACCTGAAAGGACCTGAAATGTCACTGGTTAGTTCCCTATTTCTATGACGTATCCCAAAGACAATTTTATAGTGTATATATACGCATGAGTTGTGTGCTTGTTCGTTCGTGCTTCCAACTGCTTGTGGAATTTACCTTTCACTCGGATGAATCTGATCTTCTCTCTTTAGTTAACAGAGCTGGCGCACAGTGAATAATTTAGCTTGTCTTGTTGTGTTGTTGATCCTTCGTTCCGTTCGCCGATTTTAGGTAATCTCTTAATCTCTTCAATGGTAGCAAATATATATCGATCTAAAATAAAATTTATATTCTCATATCCACTAAAATATTTGAATCATGCTACACGATTTGTCTAGAGTGTTTATATACATAGAAACTAGATATCCATAACTATAATGCATGTTACTTAAATGTAGATAATTATGTATCATTTACTGTGGAAGTTGAATTAAACTTGATCATAATTATATCATTTGGCTTTTCTCATCTAAGATGGACTGTTCAGAACTCCGAATAATAATCAGTAGAGAGTTGAAAGACATTGTAAATTAATCGTTTATTATTCTGGACATATGATGCAATATATTGGTAAAGACTAGACATTTTACGCTTACCATAACCGTTATTCACCAAAATATTTATATGAATTAGGCTATCTGAGGAATGTAGTTTGATGTGCAGAGATATGAGTGCAATTTGTATTTAAAACTATAACCATAAAATTATTAGTTTAATGGTAAGTACTGAAGTCAAATGAAATCATAATAAAAATTGACCTCAATTTTAATCTCTTATTGTCGTAAATTATCTAGACAAAACAGTAGTGCATATTATTAGAATTTACCAGAAGGGCGTTTTGTGAATATTATAGTAATTTAATGGTTAAATTCATAAGTCAATTGAATCCAGACCACCATGGAAAACCTGGAAGCACTAGACGGCTATTTCATCCTATTGTGGGACTCCTCAGCTGTGTGCATTCACGATTCCGCTGATAGGTTTTGGGTTCGAATCTCGCGAAACAGTAATGTTAAACTAATTTCATTTATTAAATTTTTAAAATTACGTTAATCATCTCAACTATTTATCAATTTTTTATGCTTATTTTCTGTCTCTATCTCTAGTTTGAAAAGAGAAAAATTCAGGACAAAAAGTTGAACAGATTACTTCAAATGGAACAAATCAAATGAATATGGATTATATACAAAATTCATTTCTAAAATCATATTTTCATTTTCTTCAATATATACTACTAATCATTATAATAATATCTAATATTAGATTATCTTATACAATGGATACTACCATATGTCCAAAACAATGTATATGTAGTTCAAAACGTATGAATTGTGAATTACCCGGTTTAAAATATTTACCAATACCACCAATGTTACAATTAGAATATTTATTAATACAAAATCAAACATTTATTAGTACTCATTTAGGATTAAATGAATTATCCATTTATCGTAGTATTGAATTTGGTGGTAAAATTCAATTAAAAAGTTTACATATACGTTATTGTAATATAGAAAGTTTAGGACGTAATACATTTCAAACAATAGGATCACAATTACGTTTATTAGATTTAACAGGGAATCCATTAATTGAAATAGCTGATTATGCATTTAATGGTTTAGATCAATTAACATTAATAATGGATGAAATTAAATTGTCTAGTTTCCATGAAAATACATTTAATGGTTTAACAAAAATGAAAAGTTTAATAATGCGTAATTCAAATTTACGTGAATTACCATATAAATCATTAGAACAATTGACATCGGTTAGTCGTCTTGGACAATTAATATTGAAAGGTAATCAATTAAGACGTCTTGATATGAAATATGATGTCATATTTAAAGAATTACAAAATTTTGAAATTAATGATAATCCATGGCATTGTGATTGTCAATTAAATTGGTTAATTAAACGTTATCGTTCTATACATAAACATAATTGGAATGAAACAATAGAGAATAGTTGGGATAGAGAAGATAATCAACCAAAATGTTCAACTCCACATTCATTAGCAGGTCATAAATTTAGTGATTTAATTACAGATTTATCAGAAGCTTATAATTCAGTTACAAGTACATGGCAAAAATCAAATCCACCATTTATTCTTTATTGTCCACCACCACAACTTGAACGTCTTGATGTGGATCTAACTAATCTTCATCAAATGAAAAGTAAATATTCCAAAGATTCTGTAATAGAGAATTCAAATGAAAAATCTATCATTTCAAATGATCAACATTCTTCAGTTCGATTAACATGTTCAATGAAAGGATCCATAGACTTATCTATCATGTGGTATTATCACAATAATAATAATAATAATACTATGACTTCAGTCAATGTATCAAATAATCATATAATACATAAATATCCAAATAATAGACAAATTTCATATATAAATAATGAAAAGGATGTATGGTCTATTAGAACTAATGATATTATTAAAGTTGAAAGTGAACTTGAAGTAATACAACAACATCAAATAGATATGTATTCATGTATTGGAATTGATGTCATTGGTAATGTAACAGCAACTGTGCGATTACAATGGCCATTAATTCAATTAACTAAATTATCAGAAATCGATAATCAATTATCATTACCAATATTAAAAGTTCCATCTAATGATAGTAAATCAAATTATTTAAATAATTGGTCAACTACATCATTGTCATATTCAAATTCAGTTTTACATATGAAACAATTTAGTTTAGGTGAATTAATTGCAGCAACCGCTGGAACATTTTTATCAACTGTTTTATTATTTTTTATTATATATCAAACACTTCATCGTAGATTATCACCATGTGATAAACGTAAATTATATAGACCACATAAAACAGATAATGGTATATTAGAAGTACCTGGTATATCACCTGGTGGTATATCATCATCAAATACATTATGTAGTGTATCAAGACCAACTATAATTACGACTACGACTACTCCTAATAATCATAATAATAGTAATAGTAGTAATAGTTCTGTAGAAACAAATTTATTACAAAATTCAATAACAAATTGTCCTACAAGTCAAATCAATTCTGAATCTATTTCATTAGCAACTAATCTTATAAATGCACAACAATTTTTAAATGGATTATCTGGATTTAATCAAGCTACACTTCCTGTAAATATGCAACAACAAACTATTCAAACAGAATTAGGTAGATGTATTCGTCCGGCACCAAGTAGTACAATAGGTGATGGAAGTTTAAATTCAATGTCATATGAACCGATATCTTATTCAGATACTAATAATGTAACATATGATGTGCCATGGATAGTCAATACTAATAATAATGATAATAATATAAATAATCATAAAATGGTCAATGTTAACCAAAGAATATCAAATGAACAATGTGTACCACTTTTATATAATGGACTACCTACAAATATACCTAATCATATTGAACCAAATCCTAATAATCTTATTCATACTGGTCTATTTATTCCACCACCACCATCCATTCCACAACCTTCATTACCGAATTCTTGTACAAATTCAACATTATCATTAAAAGCTGTCAATGTTCAACCTAATTTTCAAGGTAATCTCCTTTTCTTACAATCTGGCTGTTATCCACAAGTAATGAATTCTGTTACAACGAATTCACCATTAAGTCAGGGATCTTCTGGTTTAACAAATTATTTAAATTATCATTCATAATTTCATAGATTATCTTTTTTCCTTTTTGTTGAGTTGTTTGTTTGAATTGTTGTTTACTTCTTCGGTTTTTAAAGTTTACTCTTACGATTGGCACTTCTAATGTAATAGTTTTCAAACATTTAACCTTTCAATAGTAATAATATTGACTTTGTCAACAGATCACAATATAATGGGTTACATAATATGAATGACTTGAGCAATAAACTACATAATCACAGTTTAAGACTGTTAAAAATGAACAATTTCTGTAAATTATCTTATTTTTTTTTCTTTTTTTTAAAAAAAAGAAAAAAAGAGACCGAGATACATAATAGTTATCACCTATCACTATGGGTACGTTTCATAAAAAAACAAAAAAAAACAACCAAAATTGTGCATTTTATTTATTCACATTCTTGTACACATTAAAATCAGATTGTCTCATATTGTAATAATAACATACTACTTATAAAAATATGAAAAATACAATTTTATATACAAATATTATTAGGGGGATTTTGTGGAGATTTTTTAATAATTTTATATCGTTGAAATCATGAAACAATTGAAGCTAGACCACCATAAAAAATCTGGAAGCACTAGACAGCTGTTTCGTCCTATTGTGGGACTCCTCAGCAGTGCCCATCTAGTGGTTAAGCGCTCGCTTGCGAGACTGATAGGTCCTGAGTTCGAATCTCGAGAGGCGGGTTCGTGGAAGCGCACTGTCACTGAGGAGTCCCACAATAGGACGAAACGGCAGTCTAGTGCTTCCAGGTTTTCCATGGTAGTCTAGCTTCAATTGACTCATGATCTCAACTATATAAAATTATTAACAAATGATGGAGAATTTATCCTCCTTCTTTTTCAAATTTGTAATGTACATTGTCTTCAAATGATCTTATGCTTAAATTGAATTAAATAATGACAATATTGTATTAGATATATATATGAAAAAAGTGGCTGTGTTTTTTCATCATTATAACATTATAAATATTATTATTGATAGTTTCTTGGGTTTTTGTTTACTTCTTTCGATTGTTATCACTGAATATACAACAACAGTCATTAATGTAACTGTATACATATGATAGTTGTCAAGTGATAAATTTTGTTCAATGTTTTGTGCCAAAACAAACTGTTTCACTAATACCATTATTACCACTACTACTACTACTACCAGTACTACCACTACTATTTGTATTTATTTTCCATTATATTTATGATGAGTTAGTATTCTTCGTTTTCTTCAGATAGAAGAATATGCACATATAGTATATATATATATATATGTTAGTGTTTGGTTATGATTTGTTGTTTGATAATTTTCTTCAGTCACTTTGATTTTTCTTGAAACAAACTATCAAAACAATAAATATTTACTTGTATTTATGTATTTAATGAGTAAAATAAAATGAAATTGAGAAAAAAAGTCCCAAGTAATTTCAAGTTTATTCCAGGGAATGATGGTAAATCAGTTGATGAGATTATGAATCTTCATTGATTGAGATAGTTGAGCCACGTATTATGCATGCCCGATCAGCGATTACTATGGTTCACAATGCTGAATAGTGTTGGATATAGTTGGAAGAAAGTTATGGGAAGCCAAACCAAAACTTGGTACCAGTCCTTGAAGTTGATAACTTCTGGTCTGAGCCATGTTGATAGATGCAGACTATTTGGTTAAGGTCTGCGCGACTATCGTAATTAGTGGTTGGAGACTCTGGCTTAGAATCGATCAGAATGGCTTAGGTGTATACACTTTCTGTCTTTCATTAAACCGTGAGATTAAAATTACTTTGTACCCTTCTTTCTATGAACCAATTCTTTCTCTCTGTGTCATGTTCTTATATGAGATCGTTTTTTACTACCATTAAAGTAACTGTTTCTATGAATTCGGCGTCATCCATGTTGCGTCAGTTGGGTATGAAACTTGGACGAATGCATATATGTGCGTGGTCCTACGTTGTAAATGACTGACTGATAAGTTCATTGCCGTTGCGCAAATTAGTGACTATATGAAATTAGTAAATAAGTGATTAACGCGTCAGACGCTTGAAGTGTGTGTTAATAAGTTCGAGTTCTATTACAAACATCAACACTAGCTGATAAGTCATAAATAGGCCGAAATATACTTTATGGATTACGCTGCTTACTACTAACAAATTATGCTTAGAAATCCATGTTTTCTCCGTTTGTTGAAAAGTTTTATGGAGATTGGTTCTAGTTCGTAAGTGGTTCTTTTTGACCACTGACTGGTTCCAAATGAAGTACCATCGACAAATTAGTAGACATCAGTTAATAAAAAGAATCAATACTTACATGGTATTTGTTAATAGTTTTTGACCTTCAGAACTATTGGATAGAATAACGGTAATCAAGACTGAAGGGAAGTTGTTAACTTAATTATAGTTGATGATTATGAAATAATAGGACTATACCTTGACAATTTGATCAAATAACTTGATAAGCAAACAAAATTGATTTGCAGAGTGAAGGACATTAGTTAGGACATGTTTAGTATTTATTTAAACAACTGCCCGAAATAACATTAATTTAAAAGAACTCAGTATATCAAACTAAACAAATGAATTTGAAATCCTTATCCGACTACCAAGAAATACGGAAGTGGTTGATATTATTAGACTTCACATTGAAAGTTCGAATCATTCTCTAATCCTCTAAACATAGTGTAGCTATAATCATCATTTATCCCAAGTCCCAACCCATCTGATAATTCTTACAGTCAAAAAAATGGTTATAGCCTTCACTAAGTGGCATATTCAAACAAAGTGATAATTTCTATGTTATGATTTCAGGAGTAAAATGTTCGTAAAGACAAAGTCCTGTGAAGATGGTAAACATAGGGAAAACATGTATTAATTACAAGCCTCAGTAAAGGTTAAACCATGGTATCATATAGATTATTGCGTGAAATTAAAAAGTTGCAGATCTAGGTTCAGTGAATGAAATAGAACTAAGTAAAGACGTACACACTCAAAAAATTCAACCATATTTTATTAGAAATGTTCCGAATTCTTTTCAATCAAAATATACAGTTTACTTGTGTGGACCTGTTGATATACATAATCTGTTAGCTACAATTTGTACATATGTTCCCTCTTATTGGTTAAAGAAAAAAAATAAAAGTTTCTATTATCAGTGTGAAGATAGAAAATGAAATACAAGTACTTCAAGCTGTTTATTGATTAGCATTCAATAAAATTTTGTTTAATATCAAAATTTGTGTAACGATGAAAACACGAGCTGAAATACTCACTCCAAGTGTTTAATGTAGATTTGCCAGTCAACAATACAACATTGCCATATTGTGAATGATGTTAACACCAAGTATATTTTTCGGTTGTGATTTGTAGATTTTATCATGAGTTATACAATTAGTTACCTAATGAATAACTCGATCTTCAATCATTACATCATAACATCAAATTCCATTTTATCTACTTCATCTTGGCTAGTCATTAATTTGAATCAGACCTCACCCCGACAGTACGTCAACATAGACCCCCAAATACCCTGGTACGGCTGAGGGTGGGGAGAGTCCGGTCCCCCTCTTCAAATGCTCCCACATGGTCACGCATAAATAGCCTCTGTCAGAGAAGTCTTACTCACTGCCTTCTCGTAGCATTACTGTTGTTTACCAAATTGAGAGGAAGAAAAGCGAATGTCCGCCGCTTTAACCGGGTTCGTGGACACGGAAAGTCCACCTAGGGGAGTTGGAAAACTCTGATTCCAAACCAATGGTTCACATAGACTCCAGTATCCTGAGGGAACAAATGGCGTACGTATCAATCGTTGGTCACCAGCTACCATGGGACTGCATCTCCTTACGATGCTCCCCTGTCTTGTGGACCAGATCTTTAGGTCAAAGGCTGGAGGTGTGGCCCCTTAAGAAAACCACCTGCTTCGGTTTGGGCACCTGGTCAGTATCACAGCCCTCACACAAATCAAATGAGATTTGTGTGTCACATATATATCTGGTGTCCCCTTGTACCAATATTTATGTGTTTAATTAAATGAATAAATAATGTTAACATAGAGTATATCAACTTACTACTTAATAAATGAGTTACTTGTAAACAATATCATTTATAAATATCAATATTTCCATTTTGTTGATAACTGGTGCCTACATTAAAAAAAATAATCATGATTAAAAGAAAAACAAAGTTGAAATATTTCATTCCAAGATATTTTTCTTTTGTTGATGTGATGATCTTATCAGAAAAAAATTTTTTTCAGGAAAATAAACAGTCTTACTCTACAGTATTTTACATACAAAAAAATAAAATCTTATCAATCAAGATTAGTATATTTTTTTCTTTCTAGTATTAAGATTGCAAACTTCACCTGTAGCTCTTCTAGAGTTACTGCCGGTCCTAAGCCCATGTAAAGGAGGAGGGTTGGGCATGGGTCCAGTAGAAAAAACTAACTCGCTAAAAAACGCTAGCCAGAAAAAAATAATTCAAACCATAAAAATCAATTCAGACTTAAGATTGTACTTGAATATAAGATAATTGAAAATAAAACACAAACAAACCCCTAGACAAAGTTCTTTTTTTCTAAGGAAGGACTAATATATCAGGTTTATGTTTTACTGAAAAGAAGGAATGGTCTATGTACATTTATGTCAATTTTTGCTTGTATCCCATAGTAAAAATGAAGATAAGATTTAAAGTATTTATAGTTACTTATCGCATTACAATTGTATTACACCTATTGATTAGATTATTATTCTGTATTTATAGTAACTCTATGATAAAACAGAATAACTGACTAAGATAATTTGTTGAATGTTGATATCAGTAAAATATGTACAATCAAAGGAGGATATGACTAAAGTACTTAACCTTTTATTCAATAGATTTAAGTTGGAAATCACTATCTCCATATTTGTATTTGAGTAGACGCAAAGTATCACTAGACCACACACAAATAACACGAATTGAATATGAGA